AAGTCTATCTTGTCTCATCTTCTTCGTCAACCCAGGCTTCCTCGTCGGCTTCGTCTTCTTGTATCCTGCTGCCTTGAGGACTCTCCACACCGTGGTAGGAGAGACGTCGTAACCGTAGAGACTAAGATCACCAGCTATGTCAGCACAGCTCTTCTCTCGTCCATAACGGTCACGGCGTACTTTGTCAACAGTAGGTTCATGGATAGCCTCTTGTTTACGTGGGCGGCCTGAGCGAGGAGCATCTTCAAGGTGTTCAGGAAGAACCTTTAGGGTTGGTCCATTTGGCTCAAAGCCTCGAAGGCAGGCTCGGCTGAAGATAGCGTCGATAGTGCGTGGGGAAATACCCAGGATCTCGCTGATCTGGCTCGTTGATTTGCCCACAAAGCGGGACTTTAAAGTAACAATTATAGCACGTGTGAATGAGTCTGTGTGAGAACGAGGAGCCATTACTAGTATAACTAACCTTTGAGAAACACCAAAGAAAGCGAAGATACTGCTATCTTCAGCTTCAAAAACTCTGACTGTGCCAAGAAATATCGGGCCGATAGATCTACCGCGCTAGCAATAACTTTTGAAAGGCACCTCCGTACCTCTACACTCGATAGCTTGGATTTTGTCAAATCCAAACCTTGTATCCCATGCATTATACAAGCTTTTTCCTAAGACGAGCCCTGGAGGCTCATGCGCGAACCCTATTACTTGTCGCATGAGCAACAACTGTGAACGGTCTGTAGGTACTGTATTCCAGCTACCTAATCCAGATGCTATTTACAGTCGAGATGAAGAGAAGAAGAGGAAGTGGGCGGCCATCCCGCTTTGTTTGGGTTGGCGCGCGGCGCACGGTGCACGGGCTGCTGGGGGAAGGAGTGATAGAAGGAAGGAAGCGACTAGGCCAGCGGTCTAGTCATGTGACCTAGGGCTCAGCCCGTTACAACAACCAACGACAGAAGTACACCAGCGCAACGAGGACCACAACACTGAGCTAAGAGTGTTGCCGTAGAAGCGCCACCGCAGAAGCGCCACCGCAGAAGCGCCACCGCAGAAGCGCCACTGCAGAAGAGCCACCGCATGTAGAAGCGCAGCCCCGGAGCATTTTAGCTAGACTCAACTTACTTACTGTAAGCGAGGATGATACTGAGACTATTTGAGTAGAGTCCTAGAACACTAATAACCCACTAAGCTGACTTTGTGGATAATAAAGACATTATAGAAGTAGAGAAGGTAGCGCTCTAACAACAGCGCGTATCTATTCAATCGCAGATTTACTGCGTCGTAATTCTGTGAAGTCTGTTCGGTAGTTTTGGGCGCCTCGTTGTGTCGATTGTACCATATTACTAGTTGGTAGTTCTAAGCGCAGTCACCAGAAACTACTACTTTCAGTTATATTCATTAATTACAACATGTTCTTTCACATACGACCATAGGATCTTGAGAAAAAGTTCTCCTTCGCGATCCGTCACTTCTCGTTATTGATGAAGGTGGAGAAAACGTGCGTGAACTTGTTGTATTGGAGCTACGGGAGAAGGGAGAATATCTATGGTGCGCGCACGGAGCAGCTGACTAATCAGTGCCTGGCCAATCAGAGCACGGGAAGCCTGATTCACCGTGAATACTAGTGAAGGCTCTCACCGCGTCTCGACAGTTATACCGTTTCCAAGTCAATTGACTGGTATAGTGACCGTTTTCGGTCATCGCGATGCTGTTGTTAGTTTACGGCTGTCAGATATTCACTCTTATCTGGAATACTGATGAAATGGTAATGATCGTGATGATATTGATTATGATTGTGTGTGGTCTGTCTACGATGTGGCACACCTAGGGGTGCCAAGCTTCTGTGATCGATTGGCTCTCCTCAGATGCCGGGTCGCGCTA